CTCCTCCCCCCGCCATTCCCTTGGTTTTGACATCTTCCCCTGATAATTACACACAGACACACACACACACACAGACACACACACACACATACACACACACACACACACACACACACACACACACACAAACAGACACGCACTCCTCTGTAGATTTGAGCACATGTTCAAACATATAAATTCTGCCATGGGTCAGGTAGAATTTCCACTATATGAAAAATCTGGACATTAAGTCTAACTTCTATTAACAATCATTTCATTGACCCATATACACACACAACACTATCCCCTGCTCTGTTTTTACACTCAGACCAAAGCATTCCAGCATACAGAAATAGATAACCTATGTAGAACACAGACACTAATACATGTCGTCGCTTTCATGTGCACTTTCTCCATATTATACTCACACACACACGCACACACGCACACACACACACACACACACACACTTCCCAAATCATCTCATAAATCAGAGGGAGTGTGGTCCACCACTCCAGGCAGGGGAAGCAGGAGGGGCTGGGTGATTTATTGGCTGCTAATTTTTCAAGTCGTCTTGACATGGCGCTGGAGTTTGCCAAGCCTAAACGACAACATATGCTTGCCAGCTGGGAAGATGGGAAACATAAATAAGAGATACATTTTTGAAACAAAACCGCCCTAATGAGCAGCAAACGGCCGCTTTAGCGATAAAAAAAAAAAAGAAAAAGAAAAAAATAACAACACTGACCATGCTTTAGACTGTGATGTTTGTCGCTTCCTGAGAAAAAACAAGAATGAGGTTCCAGGAAAATCATCATAGCTACAGTTAATATACTTTTGGTGGGAGTAAAATGGGATATAAAGGCGATTAATCACTGTTTATCAGTCCTCATTTCTGTGCGGGAGATCAGTAAAATTGGGAGCCATAAATCCTGGCTCAGTGACAGCACACTTCGTCTCCATTCGTCCTGGCGCTACAGGTTTATTGTCCTCAAAACCCATTCAGGAGAATGACGGATGAGAGCCTCACGCCGGCTCCCCACTCTTAACCTCTTCCAGAGTAGATTGGCTCCTCCTACTGATGGAGGAGGAGGAGGGGTGGGTAGGGAGTAGTTGGTAGGGTACAGGCGAGCGGCGCCAACTCTGGGTCCATGTCCTCTGTTGCCGCCTAACACCCAAACCTCCCCCAGAGCCCTGCTGGGAGGGTGTGGGGTGTCTTGGTCCAGGAAAGAGGAGTGAGGTGATTGGGTTCCCAGTCAAATGGAGGGATTGGCAATAAAACATGGCAGTGGCACAAATCATGGTGTGTGGTGGCTGGTGGGCATCCAGTATCTGTGCTCACCTTTGTCCTGTTTTACTGTGAGAATCTGTTCTCCACTGCCTCATACATATTCCCATTCACTTGAATGGAAAACTACAGGTCTGTCCGTTTTCAACACAGCTATCTGACTGTCTTTGTCTTGCTCCATTTAATTGGCTTAGTCATACATGCACGCATGAGTCTGTATATACTGTTTATAATTATAAGGTATACGCAGGCATTGATTTATAATATATTATATTATCGATTAATATGTCACCAAAACATGAAAAACATTCAGTATGCAGCACATGTTGGACCATTTAGCTCATCTTAAAACAAATGGCCAACTTTTTTGACTCGCTCCTTGTGTTGGATGTTTTCAGCACCATGGACAGCTGCCACTTAGAAACACCCTTCATATGGCCAGTCCCTCCAGGCTAACAGTGAGAGAGAGAGAGACTCTCCTCTGCAGCCTAATTCCTGAGGAGACAGGAGATTAGCAGCTTTTCAGTCACCAGTTCATATTTTTCTGCTACTGAGGTAGAGTTTTGTCGAGGACTCGTGAAAAGCTACCAGCTGTGTAAATGACAGAAAAAGAAAGGCTAATTGCCATCTTAATATATGTGGACAGATCCTCTCATTGTTGGAGTGTACGTTAGGGGGATAATTAAGCTCCAGACTCTTGATTAGATTAAGCTGTTTTTGGTCCCCAGTGCGTGGATTAAGTGCTCATTGCCCGATGTATTTGAGCAGGACGTATTAGAGAGATCAACCTTGTGGAAAATCAGATCTTTCTTTATGGGAGCCGGTTATGACCCCATCATTGGCACAGAGCTGGATTACCTCGGGTCCAACTGGCTCTGCAGGTATTGAGCTTCTCTCAAGTTGACACATATGACATATGAGGTGCAGCGTGACCCCACCGCCCTCCAGCACATAACTCATATTTTCTCCACCCCCCCCCGGAAAAGGTGTTTGACTTTGGTGGCTATACCAGGTTTGTGCTCTCATACACCGTGGCTGTTGTTGCTTTTCACGGGCTTACTAAGGTGTGACAGTGCCTTTGATTTATGGGTTATTATTGAAGCAGTGTAGCCTATCGCCAACTCATTATGAGTTTACATTCACATACATCAGTGCATGCATATTGCATACAAATTTCCAAAAAAAGAAAGAAAGAAGCAATTGGAGTCTCTGGGGCTCTGAAATAGTAGCGATTTGTTAAGAGGAGGGGGGGAAAAAACACACACACCTTGGAAACTATCAAAGAGGATTGTTTTTGCCCTTTAGCAACTACGCTCAGATGTCCACTGCTCCAAAAAAAGAGACTAATTTAAATGTCAAGGTCAGCATTATAAATCACTTGGGGGAAAGGGGGCACCCTACGAGTCCAGGCAGTCTATTGGTACGTTGGCAGCAAACAAAGTGCCCTGCACCTTGGTGGGTATGTGGAGAGGGGGGGGGGGGTTTTTGCCCTTTAGCAACTACGCTCAGATGTCCACTGCTCCAAAAAAAGAGACTAATTTAAATGTCAAGGTCAGCATTATAAATCACTTGGGGGAAAGGGGGCACCCTACGAGTCCAGGCAGTCTATTGGTACGTTGGCAGCAAACAAAGTGCCCTGCACCTTGGTGGGTATGTGGAGAGGGGTGGTATGTGGGCGTTACCTGGCCAAATGAGACGCAGAGTTTGAATATGTGTGCGGACCTACTAATGGAGCGTGATGTTAATGGCAGAAGACATTAAACCTGGCTCTCTGTGTTTTTAAAAGCACTACTAATCTGTCTCCCTGTCAGCTTTATTGAAGCAGCGGGGCTAGGGTGTGCATCGTTCATTAGGGTGCTCACTGGTTTCGTCCACCTGCAGGGCGAACGCTGCACCAGGCGCGGTAACGCCGGACCGTGACTCCCCAGGCAGAAACGTATACGCCACCGAATATATACGAGCTACCATGGATCTTCGTTGCAGTGTAGTTTATCTGCGATTGCGAGGGACTGCCTGCTGTCTCCTTTGTGGCAGTGGGTTCATCTGAAGCACAGTGGATACATGTTATTAACCCGTGTTACTTACTCCAACTGAACCCCCACACACACACACACACACCTGCCTCCGCAAACAACAGACCAGTCAGGGAGGGCTTCACAGCCCCCCCCCCCCCCCTGCCCCCCAACCCCATCACAGGGCGATCTCTGATTGGAGAAACTGAAGTGGTCTGTGATGAATTCACCCAAAACATGTCATTGAAATGAATAAAGAAGAATAAGGTGAGGGGAGGGTGATGAGGAGGCGTTGCTGGGGATGAAGAATAATGGAGATGACTGTGCTGTGATGGACTAGGCGTTGGGGGAGGGAGAGAGGGTGAAGAACAGCGAGAAGGGGGATGTGGGGGAATTTCGATTGCTGGAAGAGAGGAGGCCAACTTAATCATGTCTAGAGATCGGCGTGTTTGTATGCACCTCCACAGCTTGTAATCAGACAGCCACCGGACTGATTGAAGGTTAAGCAGAGAGCTGAGGATCACATCTCCTCTCCTCTAATCTGTGACTGTGGACACTTTGCCGCACTATCACACCAACCCTTTACTGCTCACCCTGAGGCCTTTCACCCCAACCTACCCTAGCCTTTGTGATTCGCTGGTAGCCGTCAGGAGAGGACATATGTAGCGGTGTGATTGGCTAAAGATGGTCCCAGATGGGGATTGAGATGGGGGGGAGGGGGGGGTCATACTGAGGTTTGGGCCTTGGCTGTCCAGCCCATCTGCTCCACTTCCCCCTGGGGAAGTTCTGAACATCTAGTCAGGTTGTTCAACAACCTTCACCTCCCATTTGTCTCCAGCCAACACCTAGCAACGCCCTCTACCTCTCCCCTGTCCACCCTCCCACTGTTCTCCTCGCTGCTAGCCCATTGTGTCTAAACTATGCAAAAGCCGTGGTGCGAAACTAGTGGTATTGCATCCATTACCTGCCTATGCTTCAAGGCTGCCCCTCGCCAGGCATCAGGAAAGGATGCGTACAGCAAATGTGGATCCTTGCTGAGTACGGCACAAAGCAGCGAGCTGGGAAAAAGGAGAGTGCTCGATGAGGCGCACCTAGAAAAGATTAAATCTATTGTTTCCTTGTCTTCCCCATAATGCATTCTGTCATAGGGAAAGCAGTGCCACACGTCTCTCTCTAATGTATTCTGTCATAAGGTAAGCAATGCCAAGTGGAGGATGTTCTCTGAAAGTCATTTTCTCTTCTCTTGTGTGTTTCCTTCCACAGTAACAGGGTTTCCCTACCCTGCCACAGGCGCTACGGTGGCCTATAGGGGTGCCCACTTGCGAGGTCGGGGGCGGGCTGTGTACAACACGTTCCGCACAGCTCCACCGCCACCACCCATCCCAGCTTACGGAGCGTGAGTATCGAATCTCTAACCTGACCCTTGAAAACACTTGTGTTCACGCTGTAGTATGAGTGTGTGTGTGTGTGTGTGTGTGTGTGTGTGTGTGTGTGTGTGTGTGTGTGTGTTTGTATTCGCACATGCATTTGCGTTTCTGTCTATATTTAGGTGCAGTAGTCATAATTTGACAATTTCAAAGATACTTAATGTTAACAGGGGAGTGGGGTGATAACGGTTGTCATATATTGTTTAGTCCTAGTTTTTGGAAAACTGTCAAATATCAAAAACAGTTATGTCATGTTGCTGTTTATTTACTTCCTAGTGGGGTCTTTGGGGAGTAAAATCGTTGTTGGTATCTAGGTATGTACATGCCGTAGCTCTGCATCCTTACGTAGGTTGTCTGTTGACAAAGAGGGAACTAACAAAGCCACAGGGAGAGCTGTAGAGAGCTGTAGAGAGCTGAGATAGCGTATTACTGGGCAGATCTCACTGGACTGTGACCAGGGCCCTATTCTGATCTCCTGGCTTTGTGCAGCCCTGCCTCACACTCCTCTCTTATCAGCAGTGGTCTGTGTGGCCGTGGGAGAGGTCTGACGGAGGCCGGCCGAGGGGCCCAGTATAGCTGTCTATCTGTGATTAGATCAGGATCCATCTTACTGCAGAGAGACTCACCGCTGAAGCCGGGGACTGGAAATCCCATGTCCCCTTTCCCCTCCCTCCCACTCCAGGGCCCTTTGCTACTGATGGCAGCTGGTTGATTTATATAGCGGAGTCATGTGACGGAGCTCCTTCGCTGCTTTCTTTTGTCCTCCCCTCCTCTCCCCACCACCGCCACCAGCCCTCCTGACAACACTGCAGCAACTGGAAAGACAAACAATTTTACCAGAGCAGAAAATTGGACGGGGGGATGTGAAACGGTTGCACTTTTCGCTTTAATGTGTCATTCATTATTTGTGGTACAGTACACTAAAGCTGCTAAGAGCTGACCCCACAGACCCACAAATGGTTGAGATAGGGAGAATGTAAAGGGCTGAGATTCCCTTCCAAATCAACTCACACTCCTCTCCTGTTCTCTGATTTCACAGGGTTGTGTACCAAGATGGCTTCTATGGTGCAGAGATCTATGTAAGTACAGTTGGCTTTTTTCTTCCTGCCTGCTTAGATGAAACAGAAGTACAGCAGACAAAAAGCCCAGCCCCGGAGACAAAAACGTGATCTCCTCAGCCCCCAGCATTCTCCCAGCCTCACTGCCAAGCCGGTGTCGATTAGGTCTCTGTCTGCTGTGCCAAGAAACCCGACAACAAAATTTAAAACCCCCTCAGCTCCTCCCTCCTCACTCTCTTCTCTCTTCCTATGATCTCAGACTTTGGCAAAGAGGCAGACCCGGGCTCAGTGTCCCGTGTCAAGTTAGGTCATTTCTTCCTTCAGATTTGTCTGGGTTTTTTGAGGTGGCTCATCTTCTGCGGCCCTCCCTCCCTCCTCGCTACCTCTTCCCTCCTCTCTCCTGTTTTTTGTGTTTGTGTACACTCAGAGGGTTTGGCTGGGATATCCCTGCCTGCCCCAGGGGGTCTGTGCAGGCCTGAGTGGAGCCGGTTCCTCCCAGCCATCACCATGTGGGAGATAAGAGGAGCGGCAGAAGATAAAGGGATTAGCCGTCCCTCTGGAGCTGTCCGTTGCAGGCAGGGTCACATCAGGGGCTGGCCCCGCTCCACGTCGCCCTTGACAGAGAAAAGCATGGACGCTTGGGAGATAATGCTGAAATTACCACGCTGCCCCACTTTGACATCAGTCCAAACGTTTGCGGGGGGATGTAATTTGTCCCTTTGATTCTGCTGCTAGCGAGATGACAGTGGGCACAGCAGCAATGACAGTTGCCTCTCACTTTCACCCTGACGACACAACCAGTGTCTGGGAACAGAATGCTGGAACCCAGTGATATACGACTTACACACCGGCCCACATGATAGGACTGTATTTCACTGGCTTTTATTGTAGCGACAACCACCACCATAGACGAGACCCGGGCTGTGCTTTGACTGATACTGTTTGTCTCTCACACTTGTTCTGCCTCCTCCAGCTAAGTCCTGCACCCCCTGTGTCCCTTAACCAAGGCCTGGCCAGGTTGGTCCATCACTCAACCCGTCAGGCCGGCCCCTGGTGTTTTACTGCCATTAGTTTTGGCACTGGCCACTGCACTGCTTCAGACTGGCTGAGTGTGCGTGACGGTCTCCAGTGACCAAAAAGGAAGCTGTCCCTTAGCCCTCAGTGTCCTCCACAATCATTCAGTAGACACTGGCTTGCTGTCAAAAGCAGCCAGCTGATGTGTCAAAGCTCCCCTTTGGAAATAGATGACCTGCTAATACATTAACAGGGAGGGAAGTTGGATGCAAATGCATATAAATATACACTGCATTTATTGTATGCGCTAATACATATGCATGCACCTCTATGTAGGAACACGCATGAGCGTACACGGAGATGGATTCACAAACACACGCATTCCGCACGACAAAATAACAAATGTGCTGCACTGTTGTGTGCAGGATTTGACAAAGAGGGAGAGTGATTTATTGAGCGTGTTTGTTCAGGCTGTTGCTGTAATCAGCACAGTCCCAAGGCATGGCCGTCCCACAGGAAGTCATCTGCCTCAAACGCTGCGACTTCCTGTCCCTGTGGAAAATCGTGAGGGGAAATAGGGGGAGAGGGATTCAGACGCTGCCCCTGACCTGATTTCATGTGCAACCGCGGCCACGGCCATCACACCGCTGCCTCTCTGCACCGCTCTCCATCGGACGTCTTCCCCCTAGAGTTTAAAAATGAATGAAAACATGCATTATTAAAAGCCACCTATCCACCGTATGGACGCAGATGGGCACACACTCTACTGGCACTAATAGAAAAACAGTGGGAGAACAGCTTCATTTTTCAAAGAGAGTAATAGCAGCACTCCACAATGAGGTCTTTAATTCCTTCCCCACTCTGGCAAATGAATACAGCGGTCCTGACTCCCCAACGGTCCGACTGTCTTCTGCCTTCTTACTTCATTTGTGAGCCAGGGGGGTCGCGTGAAGGAAAAAAGGGATCTTCAATAATGTAGGAGCAGAGCCTCCTCAATCTAAAAATGGGCTGAATTTGGGGAGCAGGCTCACGTGGCCTCTGTTATGCTGTTGCTGCTCCTGGGATGAGCCTCTAGTGTGACAGTGACTACCCACCACCCCACCCCACCCCTCACCCCCAATATGCAGCCTCTCAGAACATCATTCATTCCCCTGTTGCCACCGCTTGCCTAACACACCATATATCAAACAGCACCCTCTGGTGTCTGGCAGGGAGCTTGCAGTTGGGGAATGTGGGCTGATCACCAAAATACTGTGCAGTGAGATTTAACTACTGAGGCAATTCGAAGCTCGATGTCGGCCAAATCATTGATTAACACCGCTATTTTTTTTTTTTTTTTTTTTTTTTTTTTTTTTTTACAGGGTGGCTATGCAGCATACAGATTTGCCCAGCCCACCACCACCGCTGCTTACAGTGACAGGTGAGAATCCCTCTCATCCACTTTTCTGCACTCACAAACTGAAACTAATCTCAGTGTCGCACGCAGACGACTGAATGTATACACAAAGTGTTGTGTTGCTTCGACTGTCACACTGATTTTATTGGTCATTAATTATATCAGAAATCAATATTTGAATCGTAACGTAACCACCGCTGTCTTAGAGTCCGCCCTGAAAAACTTTCTCACACCAGGATTTCGGTCACAGCTCCAAAGCAGCGGAACATTTTTCAATCAAATCATCACAAGCGAGAGCCTTTTTCTTAAGCTACAGTTTTGCATAAGTGCTCAAGAGAACATGGAGGAACCCATGGAAAAGAGCAAAGCAGAGAGAAAGAATAAGAAACGCAACGTGAGGCTTCAGGGTAAAATGACGGACACGTCTAGATTGTGTTCGACAAGCTACTGTAGCCGCGTTAACGTGAGCTTTTTATTTAAGGCAACAAGTTGATTCTGCCGGCTGTCGAATAGATGAAGAGGTAGAAACAGATGAGGTGAAGTCAGTGAACGTCACAGATTAATATCTAAAAGCGCAGGAGAAGCAAAGAATGGATTTTTGCTTTAAATAATTACAGTGTTTTCCCAACAAAAAGCAGGACATCTGCAGGCCAAACACAGATGGAGGCTGTACGTGATGAATGGGCGACTGCTTCACCAGCATTTTATAATATTCAATATAGGATATTTTTGGTTTCTTGGGGTTTTTTCTTCCTGAGATATCTTATCTATTAGGCAAACTGCCGCATTCTTTTTAGCTTGGAGCTAAAGAACACACACAAAAACCAAAAAAAAAAAAAAAAAAAAAAAGACTAACCTTGTTGGACTCAATGAGAAAAGCAGTGATATATGTCGTGACTCTCTGCTTGTGATGGGAGAGTGGGTATATCACTGCAGTATTTATGAATGGCCTCAGGTCTGTGGAAGCGAGGTAGGCAGACAGAGAGAGAGAGAGGGGGAGAGATGGACCGGCAAGAACTCTATCACTTCTGAGTGATGTCACTCTGGTTCAGGTGTGCTCTGTTTGAGGAGGCGTCGCTGATTCATTTCGGGCCCCTGAAAGCCGTTGTCAGCCGGGATGTGGGCTGGTTTGGGAATCTAATCTGGGAAGGATTGAGCATGTCACTTGTGATAACGTACACCCTGCCTGAGAGCCTGAAGATCATATCGATAATGTAAGATTTATCAGGCCTCGCCGCAGCTCGAATTATGAGCAGCCGTGCTCGGCAAGAGCAGAAATTGGACAGCAGCTTTTTTTTTTTTCCTTTTTTTTTTTTTTCCCCTCTTGGAGTGATTTAATTCCTGTTTCTCTTGCCTATACTTTTCCCTGAGATTTAATGTAATTCGCCCCCAAGTTGTTTGTTTTGCTTTGTCTGTTTGTTTCCTTTTGAATAAGCGGTCATGCCCATTGGATCAATAGGGGTTTGTCGGTATTGTCTCGGCAATACTTTATCAGATTTAACCGTGGAGCAGTCAGCCAATCATAAAAAGAGGTCACCAGGATTGTGGAAGGCGTGTGAAACCCCTGTAAAATATGAAACATTTATTATCTGAAAAGCCCACAGTGCTCACAGGCTGTATTACCAAAGCCCTTTAAGTAACTAAACAGAGTTCACACCAGTGAGTCTGATGTATCAAAGAGACCTTGTGTATAACCAGTCACATTGTACAGACCCTGCCGGCTTCCAATCAGCTCTGTTGAGGCTCTGTGACATTGCACAGGGTGGTTTGACCTGCCGGTCGTCAGCAGTGCCACTCTGGTGAGAGTCATTTTGTAGATATATTAGCCTTAGAGGGACTGTGGGGTTCGGTGCTCACTGAAGATAAGAGGACCACGGAGACTTCCCCTGACCATCTCATGGCACCGGCCTCCTCCCCAAGGAGCCGAGACAGTCTTTCTGATTTCACGTCCTGTTCACTGACCTTGGGTGCTGCCGGACTTAAATGGGCCGAGCCATATTTAGATCTTATATAACTCAATGTAGCTCATGCGAAAGGCATGAACGCTGTATGTCTTGTTGTCTCCTTTAGGAGAATTTCTTCCTCTCTCCACTTTTTTATTCCTGGTTGATTTGGTGCCCTCAGTCCTTGGCTGGGTGTGCCTTATCTGCTCCGTGCAGACCCTCATTTGCAAGCGAGCATTGAGGAAAAAAAAAAAAAAAAAGGAAAGTAAATAGAGGAATATGTGAAGTCGAATAAATAAATAAATAAGGCAGACACATCTTGTCCTGTCTCAGAAGGAAATTGGAAGGATTAGTTCCAAACCAGTAACAATGAAAAGACAGGGGTGTGAGCCCAGTGTGCAGCCTGGGTAAACAAGAACAGGGTGAGAGACCAAGCCCTCCAGCACCAACTGTGTTTCCTCCTCTGCGTTTTTTTTTCTTTCTTTCCCGTCTCCCTCTCTCTGTGCTCATTACCCATTCCATCCTCCTAATCAAGATGACAAAGAAAAGACAAGTATAATTCACCAACCTTTGAACTCCCCCCTTTTGAACCACCTTGTATAATGTAGGAAGCCCAGGAGGCCGGGGAGGGAAATAACTGATTGTGTTAGAGACTTGAAAGAGTCGACTTGAGGGGTTGAGCATTAAACAAGCATGCATAAATGTTCTGCTCTCCTCGTCAATGATAGATCAATGACCGTGTTCTCTGTGCCTCCCGTTGTGCAGCTATGGCAGAGTCTATGCAACAGCAGACCCCTACCACCACACGATTGGCCCTGCTGCCACATACAGTGTGGGGACTATGGTAAGTCTATGAGACCGCCGCCTCTTTCTCTCTGTCTGCACCCTCTCTGAAACATCACGACACGAGCTAGCACACACACACACACACACACACACACACACACAAACTCACACTCCAAAATAAAGACCAGAGACCGCAGCGCTCGCTGGTTTTTATTTGTGTCTTTATTCATTAATTGATTTTGGGTTTTTTTTTTTTTGTCATGCTAACTGGCACACCCTAGTGGAGCTGAGCAGTACTTTAAAACCCCGGCATGTGGAAATTTGTCAGACATTTAATGCAACAAACTACTGTTATGCCACGCAAGCTCACCTCATGCAATATTGATTTGACACAAGTTCCTCCTGAAATGAGAATGAGTGATCACTGCAGTGTTTTTTTTTTTTTTTTTTTTTTTTTTTCCATTTTTTAACCCAAACTTTGCATCTTACATAACAACGACATTTCCAAGCTTTCCGTTCATTCTCCATCACTCAACTCGCCACTGAGTGAGTTGGATCATCTTTATTTTCTTCCCATTCAGCCAAACCAAACTTGAAGGGATGAAGTTGAATTGTTAATGTCTGTTTTTAGCTAGCTTTTGCAGCTACTGTAACATCAAAGATGAAATGTGGTGATAAATAAAAGAACATCTTTTTTTGAGACAGAGAGAGTTTCTCTTTGGTTTTTGTTTTATGATGATGAGGGGATGGGACCGAGCTCGCAGACCAAACCTAGAGATTAAGGACCATCAAACGCATGCAGCAGTGTGCCGTGGGACATAAAAGAGAGAGCGAGACGGAGGGAGGGAGTTGTCTCGCCCTCCCCTCCTGCCCACAAGCTAGATCGGAGGCGTGCTCTCTGCTTGAGAAATGACTGAAATTTACCATTCCGGCATGCATGCGATTTTTCAACAACATTAAAAAAAAAAAAAATTAAAAAAAAAAAAAGCGTACAGTTCCCCGGTGCAGCTGCTAGCTAAAAGCTTTCATTAATTAAGACATTTCTTTTTCCTCTTCATTTACTTAATTAAAAAATGTGCTTGAATGTTTTTTTTTATTCTTTCTTCTTTTCCCTCCAAATTTCCTTCCATTTCTCTGACACTTTAATCGTCCTCTTGATGAAAGTAGAAAACAGGATTTGGCCCCCTAAAAATATCAGAGCTAATGTTGTGTGTGTTGGGAGCTGAGGGAGCTAACACAGACTCGAGAGGGTGGGTGTGTGTGTATAAGTGTGTGTGTGTGTGTGTGTGTGTGTGTGTGTGTGTGTGTGTGTTCGTGTGTGTGTTCGTGTGGTGCCAACCAAATGGCGAGGCTACTGGGAGATGAGCTGTGCTGAGGCCAACATCAAATAAACTTGTGAGCTAAAGAGAAAAGACCAGTTTGGTTCCTAATTCTTTTATCATATTTGATTAATGGTTCTCCAGCAGAGTGGAGTCATTTCTGCATTTACAAGTTATACAATAATTAGTTCCTCTGAGGTTGAGGTTGGAAATTTTCTTTACTCACTTCAAGTATATAGAAGCATCTCGTATGGATGAAAGTTTTGTGCAAGCGAGAGGGCTCCTCAAAATTAGGCTAAATTAGCCTTTGAAGACATTCAGTAGCCTTTGGAGTTTGTCTGAATTCCTAATTCACTGAAAGATGAGAGGAGTGACCCTGTGTGTGTGCGTGCGTGCGTGCATGTGCAGGTGTGCATGCATAGGCCCACGTGCATGCTTTATGTGTGGGGCTGCCCTAGATATCTTGAGCATGGTGCTAAATCTAAGGGCTAATATCCTGTGGTGGTTTGCCCCTCCAGAAAGGTGCAGACACCTCTGCTAGACTTGAAAAGGAGCTGTGATTAAACCTCTCTGAACTTATTCTGCTTCGGTTGGATCTCTGATATTGTTACAGCCTGAAAAGGAATGGATTTCCTCAAGTGAAAAAGCACAAAGCACAGTATTTTCCAATTTGTTACTTATGTATTAAATTCAAGAAAATACATAAGCCCAGGTCCCATGTTCCTCTTGAGTTTTTTTTTTTTTTTTTTAAAAGAAAGTACTCTTTTTCTTGCTCTGCTACTATATTAAAAATATTGTACAACAACTCCATCAACTGCAGCAGTTAAGCTCCAAATCCACCTTTACCTCCTGATGACCCTGTTCCTAACACACACCCACAGTGTATGCAATCAATTTTTGGCTTAAATATGTCAAACTATCAATCCGCTCTCATGATTATGAAAAACCGTTCTAATATTCAAATTTCTATAAATAACTTGCTTGGGAAAAAGGAAGGAAATTTGTGGAGAAGGAGAAACCGACTAAAGCTGTCACTTGAATACTGATTGGTACTTTTTCATCTTTGATGTTGCAGGCTAGCCTATACAGAGGAGGGTACAGTCGCTTCACTCCCTACTAAAAGAAAGAAAAAAAGCGAGAAAAGACAGAGACATTACCCCAACAAACAGACAAACAAACAAAGCTAAATCAAACTAAAAGCTTCCAGGTCCCCATGCTGAGCCCCTCCCCTGACACCCTCTCAAGCCGATATTTCTACAACAACCTTTTTGATGTCATCATTGGTCTGCTCTTGTTTTGTATTCATTTTGTGCTTTTGGTTTTTCTTTTGGAAAGTTTTATGCACATGTGCATTATCTTGATTGCTGTATATGGGTGCTGTGTCACCATAACCAATGTGAGCCTACTGCAGCACGCATGATGCATGCTCAGAGGTGTGTGTATGCAGCCGCTGTCATCTGACTAAGAATATACTGGGGCATTTCTTATAACATATACACACAACAAACAAACAGGAAACATACCAGGTCTGATCAGGTCGACTCCACCCGAGGTTAGCTTTCTAACCTCGATCTTCCATTTGACACGCAGAGATAAAGAAGTCGGTCCAAACGCTGACTAACATGCCTTGGTAATTCTTTGTTCAAGGACGGCACTGCTCTGATTGCTCTTATTTTTTCTTTAAAGTGGAGTGTCCTACTGTTGTGCACTTGCAGTGGAGTCTTACAAGCTGTACTATGTGGTATGACAGCATGCAGAGTAAAGGGTCACAAAGGTCAGATCTCTGTCTTGGACTCACAATGCTCATACTCTGGCCCAGTCTCCTGCACATTCCTGTATGTTTATATGCAACTACTCTGCATCGGCCCTTATGTTTTGAGAGGAACATTAACGCTGGCTGGGTTACGGTCTACATTTCATGGAAGTACACCCCCCCCCCCCCCCCCCCCCCCAAAAAAAAAAAGATGAATTTTGCAGCTGAAGTCATATTGGGCGGCTTCATCAGAATATGTATTGGACGGTGTTTTAAATTTTTTGTCCACACCCAAAACCAGTAAAATGCAGCGACAAATTCAAATGTCAGTGGAGACTCAGTAGCCTGCAAATAAAATTAATTACAAAACTGTTTTACTGGATTAGTGGAATTAGTTAAAAAACTTACGGGTTTTATAATCAACTAATCATTTAAGTCAAACATTAAAGGTCCCATATTTTCCTCTTCTCCTGGGTTTTATTTGAAGTGTTGATCCATAAGAAGATATATTTCTAGTTTTAAGAACCAAAAACCATCTCAATGTAGTTTTACATCTCCTCTCTCAGGCTTCTCTCTGGAGCTCTAGTTACAACAGGTCAGTGAGCCAATCAGAAGAGAGGAGGCTCTGAGCCTCTCTTCTGATTGGCTGACAGTTTTCTGAGTGATCCACTAGAAATAGAGCAGATTTCAGGTAAACACTCAGAGAAACCAAATCCTGCAAGGTTGGATGGTCAGTCCAGATGGATGGGGCTTGGGGCGTGGCTGAGAGCTGTGACTGCTTTGCTGTGACATGACAAAGTTACAGAAGTCCTAACGGCTCATTTTAAGGCTAAGTTTCTGATACTTTCACAGTATTAATATAAAACATAGACCTGCTTTATAATCAAACAACATGTCACATCTACGTTTATACAATGTGGGACCTTTAAGGAAAATGGCCAAAAGTTACTTGTTCCAGCTTTTCACAGTTTCACAGTTGTGCATCACTGTAAATATTATTTGAACCTTTCTAATCACTATTATCTGTGATTTCATTATACGATTAGTCATAAAAAAGAAAACAATCATCCATGAAAATATTCAGTCATGAGTTACAGTGCTGAACTTGACTGCTTTACATTATGTGTAGGTTTTTATTTCTCTGATCAGTCAGCATGTTTCCCCAAAACATGATGGGTAAATGCAAAATAGTTGCATATTAACTTAATTTGCAGAAGATACGGTTGCATATCCTCACTAATACACCATGGCAGATAAACTGTCCCCAACATTCCCCACATCGACACACACACACACACACACACACACACACACACACACACACACACACACACACACACACACACACACACCCAGTAATGACACAGCACTGAGGTGGGTGAACCTGACAGAGGGCTGTTCTGCTACTTCAGTCACTGGTCTCTTTTTTAAGCATTGCACAAAATGTTTTACCTCAGGATAAGCTAAACTGAAACTCACAAACTAGAATACAATGCTATTCACTTCTCAGCAGGCAGGATAGTTTCATTTCTAACACAACCAGCAGGTTTGTCCTCTTTGCAACACAGCTTTGTAGAAGAGCTGATTTTTGATTTTTGTTTAAGCAGAGACCCCAAGAGAGGATGATAAAATAAGACTGTACTGTTGTTCTTTATTACAGCTACTGTATTATATATATATATATATATATACAGTATATACATGTGTGTAGACATATACTGTCAAACACATTTTACACTGTATACACACATGAGTACAATAAAATAGTATGTAAAAGCACCCAGGAGTTAGGGGACACAGTGTAAATGTGTGTAGAGTGCAGCAGTGCTCGCCTCTTAGTCGACATACAGTCGCTGCATTGGCTTCTATTACAACTTTGTGCTACGTGAGGTGGATTGAAAAGAAACTCTCTGTGTAGCTACAGTTCGCTGTCAAGATTTCAGTGCAGCTATGGAAATACAACTCAAAGCTATTGCCAATAATATTTAATTTATATGTACTCACAAAAGTGTTTGTGGTCTCAAAAGAAAAATCTGTTTGTTGCACTTTATTATTTCTTTTTTTCTTCTTCTCCTTCTTTTTGTTGTTGTTGTTTTTTTCAATCCTTTCTGAGATGTAACATATTTATAAAAGTATCATATACAGCTAGTTATGTTCAGTCAAGATGTTAAAATGCTATAGAGTAATGTTGTATATCAAAAAAAGAGAATTAATTAACCCATTATCTCATGAGTCAAAGAAAATCTTTATGTGGGTAAAGAAACATTGTTCTTCCTTTTATATGCTAGTACGTACGCACCGTTTGGGGTTTTTATATGAGTCGAAAGAAACTTTGAATATTATTTTTACCATTTTCAAACTGGGAGAAGTGGTTTGTGCGTTTGTAGGAGTTTCTCATACAAACTCTGCAGCAGAGTACATGTGTGGGTGTTCAGTTAGTGACCACTATTAGTAAGCTAGACTGGAATGACATAGATTTTTTTCTTTTGTTTTTGTTTTCCGATCTGAATGTGTGTGCCTATGTGCTATTTACATATATATGCATTAGAATGTGTGTTTGTGTGCGTAAGAGAGAAAGAGGAAGTGAATGAAGTTTGCTAACATACTGTAGTTTGCAGTACGCTAACAGTTTAATGTGACTTCACTCTACGTCCCTGCAATAACATCAGGATAGTTGAACTCTGACCTCAGATATCAGTCAATGCAGACACTCTGAACATGTTCCATCGTTTCCCCATTTCAAGTAAAGAAGAACTACTTTTACCCATTTGGTCCCCAAAACCGTCATCTGAGCAGAACATGTGAAGTGAACATGATGAGGGATAGGACAGGTCTGTTGAGACTATTCAAAATATATAAAGTCTGTCAAAAAACAAAGTCAAAATCAGTGCGATGTCTTGCAACGTAATGAAGACACAAAACAACATCACAATGAACTACAGTCTCAAACCTGACGGTAGAATTTAGCACAGAACTGATGTATTAATCAGCTGATTAATCAATCAATAGAAAATTTACAGTGTGGCTTATCTGTCGAGCATTCATCAACTAAAGTGAATGGCTAATTTTAATATCAGATGGTGGAAAACTAATATTAATTTTTATTTTGCATTCTTGAATTAATAATTAACAATAACAGCATGTAATGTTCAACTAAGAATATATCATATTTTTAAGGGATATCAAAGATGACTGAGTGTTTATGAGGTGAAACCTCGAGTATATCCACATAATCATAATCAAATCATTATTCAAAGTACGGAATACTAATTAATGTGCAAAAAAAAAAAAAAAAAAACCAGCAACAAAATAAAATGTTCTTGCATTGTGTTGATTAAGAGTGCTGCTTGGCCTCTTTAAATGGCAAACTCAGTGGCAACTTGTTGCGTTGATAGTTTAGACATAAATTATTCAAATTTAGATTTCGGTTCACAACGTGAATCAAGTCCAACATGAGCTCTCTAATAGTTTATCCCAACGACATGTAACTCATAGTGTTCTACTCGACTTGTTCTTGAATCCTGTAACGTTGCCATCAGTGTTTGGGTGATGTGAATTACGCCTTACATTAAAGCATTAGCACATGTAATGACAACAACACAACGTGATCTGCTGGGGAGTCACAGACTCTTTTGCTGGGCAGGCTGACCATTGGGGCAAACTTAAAGCCAGTAGCCGTCACTCGTTTTCATCAGTATTTCTGGCCTCCTCGTTAACCTCCTAAAGTTTCTTCAGAAAAACAACCAACATCTGCAGTTTTCTTGTGCTTCCAGATGCATGCGAACATTAAAGAAAAAACAAACAAAAAAAACAAAATGGAGACATGCTTGTACATGCACATTGTCCCAAGAAATATCTCATCATGAGGATACATAACAGACTCATCATCACTATGACACTTGTCTACTGTCATGTTATTACAGGGACGAGTTTGAGTAAGGTCATCTGGAATTGCTCCTATCAGTCTGCACGGGTTTGTCTACAGTTTACAGAAAAAGTTAAAATTAGCATTGTTTAACTGTGTCAGTGTCAGCTTATCAAGGCTTAAATGTTAAAGACATAACATGTAAATAACTCTGGTAGTCAGTATTGTAGAGGTCTGAGCCGTTTTATTATGCTTACAGTAAGTCAAAAGTAATTTAAATGTGAATTTATAGAACAGACACTTTGATATTTTTTGGTTTCCTTTGCTTTTGTTGTATTCCATAACCAGCTTAATATGCAACCAGACCTCTATTTGATCCAAAAATCTGTTCGTACTTATTAATAGTAGTATTGAGATACGTTTACATATCAGCAGAAAATACTCTTTATCCATCATTTATATTTACTACAAGTATTCACGAAGCCCTGATAAGCTGGCAGGTGCATTTATTAATCCACCTAAAAGATTTGTACAAAAAAGAACCAAGCAAAAAAGTTACGTACTTGTAAATACATTTAAATGTATATACACACACACACTATATCGCAATTCTCTGAGTAACTGTTTTATATGTATTCCTATATGAAGTGGGGTTATCTGTGTATTTTCAATTCAGCTGAACTTGTTCTTGAATTGTATGTAATTTCTATAATGAGAATATATTGTCTGAAAGGTGTAAAGTAATTTTCTTTTGGATTAATTTCATAGGTAAAAGTATATGATTATGATCTTTCTTTCTTTATTCATGAATTATTTTTGTTGTCAGTATGTGACATAAGTAATCTCTGATTGTTTTGAGTGTCAGAATAAAGCAGTTATAAGAAGATTATGTCTGCCTTCACACATGGATGTTGTTGTCAACTTCAGGGTTAATTTCCATCAAAATCTGCATTTTGATTTTCTTTTTCCTCAATGTGTATGTCTTTTTTTTTGTTTCTTTAAAAACATTTCCTCACCTCCACCAGCGTCTGGCCACGCAGATAGTTGTTAAAAGGGACTTTTTCTATGGTGGATGAGAGCTCAACGCAAAGCCACCTCATTAATGACACTGGCAAATCAAGAAAACATACGTTCTATTTTGAGTGTTGGAGATGTTTCTTTTGTTTTCTTGGCTTTTATGTTTCTGTATCTATGTTGTTTTTCAGCAGTTGACGTAGATCTGGTCTTGTGCTCGTTCCTCCGGCTGGAGAATCGATCATCAGAGCTTTGTTGGTGGGATTAAGTATGGAGACACCAAATAGCTTGCTAGTTAGCATCCACGAAAAAATAACGACGGAAAAAATGGCCACATGATTAGTGACGCTCAACCTGACTGTGCGTGTTACTGAGCTGCTCCTGGAAACCTTAAATTGAAACTGGCGGGATGGAGACGTCGCCTGATAGAAGTCGGAACTGAAAGTGGCTGACACGAAGAAGTGAAAACACAATGGCTGTTATCTTACTTTCGGGCCAAAGTTACATTGGTTTCATCTCTCTCTACGTATCACATACGGAAAGACAAGGTGTTACATTCACCTCCGTTGTACTGGTGTGGCCTGGGCTAATAAACCCAACAACTATCTGCATGGCTCGATGCTACTAGGTCTAACAGAGTTTGCTTTTTTTTTTTTTTTGTAATCTGGGTGAACTGATCCTTTAATAGGCTCAAGTTTTCCTTTCTAAAGATAGACTTGTTTTAACAAACTGTGAGTGAAAGAAGTACAGGCTCTTAATACCTGAACTCACCCTCTCCTGATTCCTTCATATCTGTGGGTGATTAATATATTTGTGTCGGCAGCCCTTCCCGTTCCCGGGCTGCCTGTCAGAGAGGACTATATGTAGCTCCAGCGCTATTGTGCTCCCTCCCTGCTGAGCTTTAAGACTGCATGTGGATATTTTTGTATGGCGGGTCCCTAGCGAGCGCTCAGTAAATCTGAGGCACAGGATAGATAGAGGGAGGTGGTGAAGCTCAGGCCAGTTCCTCCATGAGAAGCGATAGATACACGGAGATGCTGATTGAGCATGCCACTTGGTTGAGTGTTTCTCTCTCTGGATTAGAAGTTGGGAGGGGGGGGGGGGATAATGCACTACAAAGCCATTTCAAAATTAAAGCCTCGTCTTCTTTCATTTATTTATTTATTTATTTGTCAGAAGCTCCGTGGAGCTGCGGAAGATCACTCCGAATTAGCAAGCATCTGTCATGACGGGGGTCCTGGGACATCTGCCTTGCCTTGCCTGCCGCCGACCCGCACACACCCCACCCTCCTCTTCCTCTACTTCCATCCAGCCACATTACACTGAGACTTTTCACTTTGCACTGCCAAACTGCCGATCTCCACTTGTATGATTACAGCACACTCTGATCTTTATTCTGGGGAGAGTAGTAGCACTAGTTTTGGCAGGCGGAAGGCCTCTGCTCCCGCTTCTTTTAAGCCACATTACAAGAGCGGGATGAGAAGTGAATGAAGCTGTTGTCTCTCTGCTCCCAAACTTTTTTTTTTTTTGCAGTTGAGTTTTAAACGTTGTTTCCTTTCGGCTGTTTTGACTGCGTCGATGTGTTTCAACCCGACATTGTAAACTTTTCCTCATTGTAACAGTGTACATTGCATAGACGGAGAAAATGTTGCGGCTGCAGGACTTCAAAGAAAGTGTGTTGTTTATTCCATACATTATCCCATATGTTTACTTGTATTTGTTTCTCAAAGAACTACTTCCTAGCCTATATTTTCTGTGACAAGATCCTCGCTCCTAAAAACTTGTTTAGAGAGAAATAAAGTTGCACCGAGCTGCTCCACACTGACTTCTCACAGCACCTCTCATTATGTATGCCTATCAGAAACATAACATTCTGCATATTTACCAGTCTCCCCACTTTTCTCCCCTGTTTCCAGTAAATACAAAAGGAAGAGCTGTACTCAGTATTGATGGACATCACAGATGAAAACAACGAAGAGAGGAGAACTAGCTTTAAGAAAATAACACAAGAAGACGACGAGAAGGAGTCCCTCTACTGAGGCTGGCGAGGGAAGACGGGAGGCGTACAAAGTGGTGCCGCGGCAGCGGTGTCAAACCAGCCACAAACTTGACAGACGGAGTGAGCCAGTTTCCACCAGGGACCACCTTTTTGCCGGGAAGAAAAAGACAGAGAGAGAAAGAAAAGTGTCCCGTTATTATAAAACATTTTATTTTTCTATACTTTTGTGATTTACAATGGTAAAAAGTGTGTATAAAGCAGTATATATGTACAAATCTGTTTTTATGTTTTTTGGTAAGGGAGATGAACAGTTGGCCCTTGATGCTGATTCTGTGGTATGCAGGAAGGAGGAGGGAGGAGCCCCCCCTCCTCTCTCTATGGCACACTGATCTGTCGCCGAGATCGTGTAAACAAAAACATAAACAGAAAGGTGGCAGGGAGAGCTCGGCATCCAGGCAGAAGCACTTTCTACACTGTACTTCCTGTGGGTGGAGTCAAAGGTCAGCCTCCTGGTCTCACTGCTCCGCCTTCTTCCTTCCAACCTTCCCGACCACCTTTCCTTACTTCCTTCCTTCCTTCCTTTTTTCGGGCCAGTGATGTCGCTCCTTCCTCCTTGTTGCGGTGTCACTGGCCAGCAGCGCCTACTGTTAGCAGCGTCCCCTGTGGATACTGTCGTGATGTCACTTCCTCCTGGCAGCACCATTGGGCATCCCCGCCCTCCCCAATGGGCAGCGTCACTGGTTTACAGCGTTGGGGAGCGGGGGGGTTGAGCCACGGCGGGACGGTGAGACGGTATAAAGCCGAGCCTCCCCGGTCTGCCCCTCTCCACGCCCCAGCAGAGGTCAATGACTGAGGACTAGTTAGAGAAAAATGGCGCAGAAGTCGCCGACTTTACTCACCTGCCAGACTCCGAGCCCAAGCCTTTGTGTCACTCTGCACCGACGGACTAACTATCAGACCCACGTGATGATAAGGTGCGTACAACTACCAAGGATGCACGTTTCCACCTGCCGAGAATAACTCATCAACGTCCATGTAACAAATTGAATTATAATCGAATAATCCCATTGTACTACATCAGCAGGTGCATAACCAAAACACAAGCCTGAGGCATATAGACTATGTCGCTAGATAAAACATTATAGAAATACAGTAGTGCCCATCCAACGGTAACAAGGAACGAGGGCTGAAATATGTCAATTTTTTTTGTCAATGTATTCTGAAAATATTTATTTGTGTGTTTCTTTTGTTCGTTTTTTTGCAGCACTGAAAACTTTTAAAGAGGAAAAAAAGTTTTAATTTGGTGGAAGCGAAACCTTAATTCTTTATATCAGGAGAGTCACTGTAAACGTGTTTAAACAAGAATGTTGGTTCAGTTCTTTGAATGTACTTTAATGTCTAGGGTGTCCAATAAGTATGTATTCTTTTTCTGTATATAAATATATATACATATCTATTATATGGGCTGTGGTGATGTCAGGGAGTAGAGGGGGTGGGCAGGAAAGCCTCTGGCCCCCGAACATAGATATCAGACCCCCCCCCCTCCAACTAAATATGTCCCTGATATTTACTGTAACATGTGATCATGTGTTATATGATTGAAAGTGTGATGGTGATAGTGTGAACTGATCTCCCCCCAAAACCCCCCCCTCCCACTTTACTACACAAAACAACAAACACACGCACATATACACACACGCACACCCCGAGCAGCGAGCCATAGATTAACAACACATTAAGTCGTACACACACACACACACACACACACACACACACAATCCCAAACAACACATTCTCCTATTTAGAGCTCAACATCACATCCTACTTTTACCCGACAGACACTTCAGGAAAAAGAATCGCATCTGCAGTAATTTCGGCCCCTTCATTGGAGCTTCGAAGACTTGCTAATTAGCGCAAGGTGTCAGATAAAAAAAAAAAAGTTGATGAATATTGATTTTTCTTTTCTTACTTGAACCAAAGTATGATTTGAACACACAGTCTCAGTGCTCTTTGATCAGGAGACAGCGGGACTCGGTGATGGCGGCGGAGCCCGGATGTGTATTGACGTGACCCAGATTTCATTCGCTCATTACTGCTGAGGAAGAGCTCGCTCTCCTGCTAATGTAACGAGCCCTCGCTGATGAAGCCCCGGCTCGCAGCTTCCTGCAGCCCCGGTTTATGAACTGCTGTTCTCATTCTGACCCTGGTGGGCGGGCCGTTTTATTGCATATTGGAAATAACCTGCTGGCCCTGAGAAAGAAACTTTATCATCAGAGGCGAGCAGGTTCGGGTGAAGCACAACTTTGTTTGAGAGTTCAGGGTACGCCACTTGGTAGTGGTTTTGTGTGAATTGTTCAAAGAGGGTAACACTAGGTTTAAGCTCCTGACTTCCTGTACAAAACTACAGTGTGTACTGTTAATATCCTGTACAGTAAATCTCACCTCACACTTCTTGATTAACTTCATCTTATTTCAGGTTTGAAAAAAAAAAAAAAAAAAACTTGTTCTGAATCAGGGCTCCTACCCACGCGACCTCTGTTCATCTGTAGACAACTTCTCATATATTACAAAGAGTATCTATATCATGGCAACTAACTGTTGTGAAGTCTAATTGGGGTAAAGTCGGTCATTCGTTCTCCCATGCAGTGATCATATGCAGGCTTAGCATTTTCATATCTGTAAGTTTGTTTCTGAGAGTCACATGATTCATCTGGCCTACTTACAGCACTACAGACTTGTGGTGGGTCAGAAAAAGACTCAGGAGCAGGTTTGGAGTTTGAGTTTGACGCCCGAGGGGAGCCCGAGCTGCTCCGGAGGCAGAATCCACGTCATGGTCGAGTTCACTGGCATAGATGAAGAACCACAGTTGTTTTGTTTGGTTTTTTTTTTTTTTTTTTAGCTTACTAACATTAAAGGTTGGTCACATGATGTCCACTAGTTTATCTATGCACTTCCAAAAAACAAAAAAACAAAAAAAAAAAAAAAAAAGATGTGATGTCATGTGTGATAGGAACATTTTTGGAAGAAACCACTGTTAACTACTCATTTTAATGATTTTAATGTTTTGTTTTTTTTATTATTAGAATTATTTCAATCTTCTCCACAAATCCAATGAAAAGCCCAAAACCAGCCATGTGTTAGTTCTTCCCTCAGTACGTTGTGACCCCCCCCACCCCCCTGCCCCAACTCCACTGGTTCCCCATGAAGAAGTAAATCTTTAAAAACAAACAGCTTGCCGACGGAGTTCATATCAAACAAACAGGAGTAAATAGTGTATCTGTTGGGGACTATTTTCAGCAGTGGACTAATGCACATTTTGGTGTGTGTGCATGTGTGTGTGTGTGTGTGTGTGTTCATGCTTATGAAGGAACATGTCACCGACTTTAACAGTGTGGCTGTTTTTAATAGTTTTTGGACAATAATCGATCTCAGAGGAATAAGATGCATCAAGCTTTGATACACACACACACACACACACACACACACACACACACACACACACACATTCAGTGATGGTTTCGAGTGTTTTCATGGGATTCGAGATGCATCTCTGCTAATTTTCTCGGAGCAGTGTTTTACTAAAGTCTACGATAGAAAACTGTTATGATCCAACACTTAGTTGTATTTTATGTTAGAGGTCAATATGTAGCATTTATGGGACAGTCATGCCAGATATTAGGATGTCATTTAGTTTGTGCAAAGTTTGTGCAAACTGGAAGTCAAATAAGTATCCTGTATCTTGTTATTTCCCATTCTTTCTATTGCTATCACTGTTATTATATATATATATATATATATAGTAGTAGGAGTAGTAAGGGACAGTGTACAATGTTGCAAAGTATTGTACTATTAGCTTGAGGCCCATTTTCAGCTACTTTTATTTAGTAGTTCACAATTAAAAGGATGTGCAACACTAAACATGTAAGACAGGACTAAGTAAGCCTCTTACAGTATATAACTTCCTCTTTAGTATTTGGTTATTTACTTATTTATTATTTTATATCTTTATAAAAATATTCTATTCTACGCTGACTTTGCTGAAAATGCAGTTTTCACCACATTAAAGCTGCAGTAATTAAGAGGTTTTGGAGTCGTTTCAGCAAAAGGACTTCCAAACTACCAGAGAGACAAAAAAAGAAAGAAAAGTTCTCATTGCAAATAGTGTGAAGATGATTGCATTACTGTGCTTTCTTAGAAGGTGTAAAACTAAGCTAATACAACTATTTTACTAGCATTCAACTACAGCTCCCATGAGACTTTGCTCCTGTAGTCGAATACTGACAGAAAACTCTCTCTTTTTTGTCTTTATTTTCTGTGTTCAACACAATGAACAACCCACTTTCACATCACACACTGTCTTCTGATACATAATGGATATATAAAGAATATTCCGAGTTAGTCTGGCTGGTCTTCCATGTTAGTAGCTGTGCTAGCATCAGTGGTCAGGTATGGATTTCAGAAAATCATTCATGTTTTGATTTTCAGGTGCTATTTTTCCAGGTAGTTTTAACTCACACTCTCACAAACAGCTGTGGTTGTTTGTCTCTGCTCGCCAACGCACACTTTTGACTTAACCAGTGAGTTTATTTCTGCGTCCGGAGAAGTTCTGCCTTCACAGAGACGTCTCTCTGAAACTCGCCTGCGCCTCAGCAGTGGGATGGAGCGGGGGGGGGCAGGGTTACAGCGACCCTCCCTTCCTTCCTTCAGATGCCTTGAGTATAAAAGAACTGGTCCTGATCTTCCTGAGCACAACTGCTTGAGCTTGTGATCACGCAGGATTGTCCCCCTCTGAGAGTCCCCCCACCCACCCCTACCCCCTACCGACTACCCGCCCCCCCCCCCCCGTATGACACCCTCCTCCCACCATCCCAGCACCCACCTAGCCTTCTAGTATGTGAGTTGACTGGCCCCTTTTGTATTCCTGGTGTTCTGTACATAATAACCCTCACCCGTCCTTGCCCATCCCCTCCTCCCCCAGCTGTCCTTCCAGGGGGAAAAAGAAAAGAAAAAAAAGAAAAAAGAAAAAAAAAAAAACATCCTCTGACTCCCCGAAATCTTGTATTTTGTTCTAATAATGACAAAATTTATTTATAAGGATTTTTTAAAATCTATCTCTTTCTCCTTTTTGTAAATGTTCCAGTTAAATAAAGTTTAAAAATGTTAAAAAATTAAATGGATATATTGAAAGGTTAAAAAAATGTCTCTAGAAGTCCCTGCCCCCTCCTCTGGCTCTGTACTCTGAACTTTGTGTTTTTGTTTTTTCTCTTTCTGTATGCTTCTCTTTACGTGCTTCAGATGAAGAGTTCTATTTATTATGACATTAACGTTATTATAATTATGACTAATTATTAATATTATCATCATCCTCATCATCCTCATTATTATCATTAATAAACTTGTCTACTTCAGCCTCTGTGTCTCAGCGCTGTTTTGTGGTGACTGATGAGTTTCTGTGAGCTCGGAGCAGACTGGGGACTCGTGGTAAGACTACAAATCCCACGACACAACATCACTGCGGCCGCATGAGATGAGCCAGGTGGAAAGGGGCGGGCCGACGTTCCCAGAGCCATTTGTCTTATGCCGAACCCCCTCCGGGTTTACAAGATGGAGAGCACCTGTCTGTCGCCGAGGCCGCCATTTACCCAACCGGAGCAAAGACAAACTCTGAGCCCGAAGCGTGCGAGAGGAAAAATATAGACGCACGCCTTCAGGGGGAAGGAGCAGAGGCAAAAAAAAAAAACACGAATGTAAATACTTCAAAAGATCACTGCCTCTCCATCATTGTTGACTTTGTTTAATCCTTTGAGCCTCTACAAACAATGGGAGATGGGATTTTTTTTTTTTCTTCTTCTTCTTTTTTGTCACAGCCAAAAAAGGAAAAACTGAAAATCCAGAAAACACTGTTTGTGTTACTTTGTGTCACTCCCGTGCCACGTCAAAATGTGCACAGCGCAGCCTGTACACACTTTCTTTCAGGAGGTGAATATGCCATGCATGCCTTTTTGAATTTTGGAGTGTTTATTAGCCCGAGGCCTCAACTAAAACCCAATTAAATCAGACTTCTAGTTCTTTCTTCCATCATTTAGGTTGAACGATCAGAATCAGGGTTAAATCAGAGAGCTACTAATCTTCTGACTGCGTATTAAAACTAAAAGAGGAAGTGGATCAACACACTCCGCAGTAAATACTTAGCAGTTTGGTCACATCTCTGCCAACTCAGAATGAACACAGAACTTTGCAATGATTCATGATGAATGATTTTCCGCTGACAGTCCAGGCTCTGACTCTGACATGTGATTTGTATCATGTTTTTATCATATTATGCTTTGCACGTAGAGATAGTACAGCACCTATTACGAGCAGTTTAAACCTGTCACATGTGCCCTATTCTATATTATATATCATATTACTCATTAAAGGGTAATTACGTTATTTCAGTTAATACTCTAAAGCACATTGTCGCATTGTTTTTATTACCCTGAGTGCAAAGCTCTGTACACCCTCCACACCCACATGTTACACAGCTTCTGAATTTAACACACAGAAAGAGAAAAATAGACACTGTGGATTATCAAGCAGCCAAAATACAGTTTGTTCAACAGATGTGAAGCTGCAGGACTCCTGCAGGACACACCCTCCTGACTTTGAACAAAACCAGATGAGTCCTCAAAGTGGCTAATGTTGGCAAGGCAGAAGGCAGGGTTAATGGAAACGTGCATGTATTCATTTGGAAGATGCTCTCGTCCAACGTGGCCTACAACTGAGGTATAGACCAAGCCACAGCCACGGATCAAGGAGAAGCCTTCATGGAAAAATGGCGCGACACCGAGTTCGTACTCGTCCTGACTCAAGTGCCACAAGGCTGCAGGTGCGTGAAGTAACGTAAGTACGAAGCCTCCTCATTTCTGCAAAGCTAGCTTCCCTAACATCGAGCCCTTTCACCACAGTAACACTTCCTCCTCCAGACTCTCCACTGAACACAGAAACTAAAGTGAGCAACCGTCCAGACGAGCCAGACGAGCCAGACTCCCCGGCCAACTTGTCCACGCAAGTGAAGTTTTACTGCCTGTGCTGTCATTACTGATTTTCAAACTGTGATCTCTTACTCTAGACATGGCCAAAAAAAAACGTGTCACTGTTTCTGTGGTTCAGTGAAATGAAGCAGATTTACTGTTTGACTGATTGGTTTGAGTACACTGCTTTTTCAGAGTTAACATACTCGGTCTCTTTAGCATTATTCTACAGTGTAGTTGCTGTACACCGTTGGTGGTGGCTCCAGTTGACTCAGACACGCTGGTTTGTATCAGAGAGCGTCATCGACTTTGTTTGTTTTGCCCAAGTTTACTGATCTTTAATCTGTAAGAGGACAAGCAAAACCTCAGATAACCTTTAAAAACCAAAGTAGGCAAATGCTACTTACAAAAAAATTTTTTTTAAATATAAAACCCAACAATCA